GGAACTGAGTCAATTAAATCTCTTTCCTTCATAAATTACCCAGCCTTGAGTATGCCTTTATTAGCAGCGTGAGAACAGACGAATACAGCAGGATATATAATTATTATTATTTTTAAGAGTGTACACAAAGAGTTTGGAGGCACTGCAACACGGTGTTTGTGAAACATAGAAGATAGGCAACTAGCCTGGGACACAGGAGGTTAGGAATCACCTCTTGGTGCAAATGAGGTTCGAGCTAAACCTTAAAGGATGAGTATGATTTAGCCAAGTGGAGAGAAGGGAGATCAGAGAAGGCTGAAGCAGAGGAAACAGTAAGTGCAAAAGCCCAGAGATGTGAAAAATTTGGAACATTGGGAATGGCCTTTGACTGGAATGGCTGAGGTATAAGGTGACAGTGGGAAACAGACTTGAAGGGCCAGTTCCCTGCACAATCCAAGTCATCTGCAGCAGCAAAACGTTAGTAGTTTTTCTTAGGAGTGTAAGTCTTCCTTAATAAAGGCTGGTCTGCAGTCCCTTGTTGAATGAGAAATCTCCTCCTTTTAGCTTGCTTTGATTCTTGCAAACGCAAGAGTTTGGGCTGGGTTTGACTTACTGCTTCCCATAAAACAGAAATGAAAATGGCAAGAATGACCACATGAAGATAGCTTTTAATTTTCCAGTGGCTGCTTTTCGGGGATCTTGGACTACAGTGATATCAGAGGTAAATTAAATTGCTGGCTTTCCCTGGTCTTCCAGAGTTCCTTTGTTCCAGTTCTCCCTGGGATTTTTGCAAATCAAGTTTGATGGTTAACGCCAGGAGTTTCTGAGCTACTCAACTATTAAAAGACTTCCTTCTTAAGAGAGGAGACAGTTGTGTATTTTCACGTTGGATAATTTGGACATGTGGCTTCTCAGACATACCAAGTGAAAGCTTCTAAACAGTTTTGGATGTTTGCCAGGTGAACTTGAGGATTGTTAGTATTCAAAGGGTTATGTATTCAGCCAGATAGTGTGACATCTTCAAATAAATCGAGAATTGGAAAAGGGAAAGCCTCTGTTAGTGTTAGCACAAAACGAATCAGTAACAAGGGGCCCCGACTGGCCAGCCTAGATCTGGCTCCTGGAATTTCTGTTGGCATATACCTGAGCTGTATTTAGAGCATTCACTTTTTCTAGGAATGCCGAGACTTCACAGCTGATTATGACTTTCTGGAGATGGACCTAAATGTAGAATTGGCACCAAATTCTGCATCTGTCACAACTGTTGGAAAGGAAGGGACCTATTTTACATCAGTCACCAGTCTGAACTCCCTGTTTTCTTCTCAGTATTGCTAGATGTTAGCTACAGCAGCTGAATGCTTTTGGTTAGAGACAGACACTGTCAATTGTTCTGAAATGATACTTCTGTCATGCTCCAGAAGGCACAGGGAGGTCCTATTTTATTTGCTCACCATGAGAAGGAACTAAGTGTCAGGGTTTGCAGCTGCCTGGTGGAAACTGTTTGAATTTTAATGCAGCAAGTAAAAAGGTTGAAATGTGATGATTGTCCAACTAGAAGAGGCTGATAGGTTTGGGCAGACCTCACATGAGGTTATCATATGGATGATGAGGTGCTGAAATAACCAGTGTTGCAAATAGTAGGTGGGGTTCCAGCTGGTGAGTAATGCTTTCTGTTGGTTTATCTGGGATAAGAAATATCACTAGATGGTCCAAGGAGGACTCACTTTCTTAAATGTTATGATGTGGGAAAAAAACTAAGAGGTAGGGAGAAAGATAATTCATTCCTTCATCTTCTTTGTGCTCCTTAAAGTTGATTTACTCCAAAATAAGCAGGTAACAGGGCAATTGCTAGACCAAATAGGTATTACTCAACCCAAGGGACAACAGCCTTAAGAAAAATGCAGAGAAATTCCTTAGCATCTGGTGAATAGCAATGGTTGCTTAAATTAGAGTTTTAAAGTTCTGAATCTTTCCTAATATATTATCACTCCTTTCCTTTCTCTTAAACTAGTTTTCATTTCCTATAAACTCTTATTATTATGTCAGTTGCCCCCCACTATCTTTTTCTAAGGGAACTTCTTGTCTTCTGCTAAAATAAAAATATTCCTGCATCTTTCACTTAGTGAAAATCAGAAATGCTTTTTCCCCATTTACATTGTATGAGATTACTGAGTGACTCATGCATGGAAAAATTGCAAAGTAAATTTTGAGCACTGGTTCTTTTGCTCTTTTACGCTTTCAGTAAAACTTGCTTTCCTTCCCATACATGTGGGACCTTCAACCGAAATCTGGCAGAAGATTTTAGGACAAGAATCTGGTGTAAGTTTTTTTTTTTTTTTTTCCCCACATTTCCTGTAGTGGACATCTGTTGTTCTTACTTGCCCAGCATCCCTTCTTCTGTTCTTTACATACACCAGTTGACCTTTGAGGAATTATCTGACTTCCACTTAGTGTGGCAGCTAATCACATGCCCTACCTCCATCATTAGAGAAGTGGGCATGTAATGCCATGCGATAAGTCTGGCCCAAAAGACTTTACTATCCTCTGAGCCATACTGGTGGGCCCAGTAGTGGACAAGAGATACAAAGGGATCTGGCTTTTGCAAGGACTGATATTAATACTGGGGTTTTCTCCTTCTGTAACTATAGAAATAGGGATTTTGTGAACATGTAGTTGCTGGAGATTATCTTTGCTGGTATGTGATTAAAGGTGTGATCAAAAGAAGGAAAAACACTGAGGCGGAGAGAGCGAGAGAGTGAGAGGATTTTATGAAGGTAAGTTTTGTCTGCTACCTAAACAAATTTTTAGTAATGCTATATACTAGTTGGTGAAGTTGTGTAGAGGGTATAGAGGACTTTGAAGCTTTCTCTGTGGTCTCTTCATATACTATGTTGGTAACAAGTTATACTACAACTTGCAAGGGCTTGGGGCTTAAATTTGTTTTAAGGTTAAAAAAACAGTTCTGGAAACCCTAAGTGATTATATTGTTTGAGAGAATGACTTCTTTTTCCACCTAAATGAGACACTTATCACAAAGTCACAACTGGAATTCACAGACTGACATTTTCTTCCAATACTTTGGCACTGCAGTGCAGAATTCATAGTACCTTAGCCGAGACAAAACCACGGCAATTGTAGTAATATTTGGTTAGGAGCATAGCTGTGCTCTCAAGTAATATGAATCTGGTTGTTACCAAATTGAATTAGAACATATTGTAGAGTTTCAGCAGTGTTACTTTTCAGAAGGCCAAATCATACTTAAGAGATGGTGCAGGATTAAAACTAATATAGACATCAGAAGGAGTTAGCTAGTTCATCAGTTTAACTCATACATGAATATTTAGGTTCTAATGGGTACATTCTTAACTTTTAAAATGGATGCCCTTTGTACTACCTTCATAAATTCCCTTTATGTCACAATTCTGTCTGAATGGGTTACTTTTGTTGGTCTTATGTTTGAGACAAATGGAAATTGCTCTTCCCCATCCCCTCCTTCATTTCAATAAAATAACGCTAATAAAATAAGTCAGTGCAGCAGTATTGATTTTATTGTGTGGATTTGGTTGGTAGATATTACAGGGAGACAGATTTCAACTTGTTAGGAGGAAAACATTTTAGCATTAAGTGGTGACCTATCCCATCACTGGCAGGATTCAGGTAGTAACCATTTATATTGCTAGATGATTCCTGCTTAAAATCTTGTGGAAGGAATTTATTGATGTGTGTTTTGGGCAAAATGACATTTTAGAGCTATTCTAGCTCCAAGAGACTATATACTACTAGTGGATATACTAATACCGCTTGTACCTTTATTATTAATTATAATTACTATTATTACTAGTATGTCTATTATATGCTGTATACAATGCTTGATATTGACATACATAAGCCATTTAAGCCCCATATCAATACTTTGTAAATATTATCCCCACCCATGTGGATTAGATACCTAATTGTTCTCTTTTTTTTTTCATGTGTATTTGTTGAGCCTTCTAGTAGATTACAAAGGTATTCTTAAAATATAAGGCAGTGTTGTATACTTTGTATTATTTCTTACAGTTATTTCAAATATGAAAAGGTGGGACAGATTTAACATAGAAGTTATTTCTTCAGTTCTGCTGTGCTTATCGTGCTGGCAAACTTTTCGGGGGAGTCCTGAAACTCTTTCTTGAGTTTACTTTCCTACATGATCCACACATCGAAGTGGTTATTGTAGAACTGTGACTGTTCTTACTAAATTATTTTACAAGGGAGAGAGAAAAGAACAGAAGTTAAGAAGAGAAGGAACAGTGTCCACCCTTTAATCATACCTTCTTCCTTATACGGACAATGAGAACCACCTTACTTACTTAAACATTGTTCATTTCAGTGTTTTGGTGGAGGAGAGAGGAAATTTAACTATGCTTGTATTATAACAAACCTTTGCTTTAAAATTATTGTTTTAACTCACTTGAGTGAATTACTCATATTGTTTTTGCTATCCTGCTGGCCTCACTTTTAATGCCAATGGAATGATTACAGTGTTGTTTCACCCACAGAAATGTGGTAAGAAATTTATGGCTTGACATCCTGAAAATAATATTTGCTTTATAAATGCCATGCATTCACAGCATGGTCAGCATGGTCATTCACAGCAATGGGAAAGGGTAGCCTGCTGGAACTCTAAATGTCACGTGGTCTACAGAAGAGGTATTTTATGATTGCCTACACTGTCATTACCATCAGCTAGTGTTTTGCCAGTAGCTTTCTACAGAATCATGTATTTTATTATAGCTATTTCCAAGCAATCATTGGTACATTTACCATTTCTGGATTTTAATACAATTGCAACTCAGAGACTCTGAAATCAATAAAGTTTTAGATGGGATGTGCCAATTGGATAATGAAAGTGATTTGAAAGTGTAAATGTTTATACCATTTAGGGAAGTCATTCTTGATGAATAATATGGAGATCAGAGCTCTGCTTCTAGCAGACGGAAATACAGCTTTAGGACTTAAAAATGAAAGACTTATTAGCAATATCAATAGAAAAGCTGTTTTTTAATCCATAGATTAATATATACAGATTCTGTTTGAGGATCAGACCTGTGCTCCAAAGGTTAGCAAATGGTATTCATTCCTCCTTCCACATACCTAGGATGGAATGTTTGTGTTAAAAGGTACCTTGATGATCAGCTGACCTCATCTCCTAATTTTACAGTCAAAGGAGTCAAAAGACTAATTGAGAACTTTAAAGTCATCTGGTCACCATATCTCCAGTGAAGTCTTTGACTTCCAGTTCAATGCTTTTTCTTCACTCCTATAATTTTTTCAAAGCCTCAGATTCCCCCAGTGTTATCTAAAAGATGCCAAAGTCATGGAAATGGTCACCATAGCAGGGAAGTTACAGATTATTTTCTTACATCTTCACCATCTTAGTATGTGTATAGCCTTGGGGAAATTCTTTAACATCTCTTAGCTTCAACATTCTCATCTGTAGAATGAGATAATAATAATACCTCCTCCAATAGAGTTGTTAAATGATTGAATTAGTTAACATGTGCAAAGCATTTAAAACATCATTAGTCCCAGGTCTTTCTCTTTTAATAATGAGCATTAATTGTGTATATATCTAAATTTCTTGAAGGGGCTGTTGCTGTATTGGGATTCTAGAAGGCACCAGTTAATCTTTTTGGTGTCATTATTTAAAAATTTGTACATTGTTATCTTAAACATTATTTGGGAATTTTTAATAAAAATTCAGAGTTAAGTAAAAATAAAATAACCCATCTGATAATTTCACTCACATATATTTCACCCTTGGATCACTTGAAGGGAAGCCTAAAAAACATTAAAGACTGCACATTTTCAGCTCTATAGTCTCAAGTAATTCTTTAGTATCTTCAGAATTATATGTTTTAAAGTAGAGTAGAAATAAAAGAATTTTTCATCCTATTTTTCAAATGGTCACAACATTATGTGTATGTGTTTGGGTGTTAAAAAAAAGAAACTTTCTTTGTCATCACTCAAAATATTTTTAAAGGTAGTGAAATACAAATTTTTGGACTAACATGGGCTGGTCAGCTCAGAATGCAAGAAGTATTCAAATCTTGCAATTTAATAGATTTTTTAAAAGAAAATTTAATTACACATTTGAAGTCCTGATTACATCCTAAGGATTTATTTGCTTATGAAAAGTCAAACTATGAATTACAATATTGCAGAATAATTTTCCACTTCATCAGATTAGTTTTACCATTCATTCCACAAATGATTTGTAAAATTTTGCAATACCTAAAATACTTTGATACTACATTACAAAAAGGTACTTAAATATAGATGAGAAAGATAGATGTTTGTCTTCTTCTTTTGATATTGATATTAAATGAAAGATGGAATGCTTTTTATTTAAAATCAATCCCTCATATTTTCCCCCAAACACAATAAGTAAATAGTAATGTGAACAAAGGCTTTCTTTAAGTCTGTTATTCAGTTCAAATGTGTGTTAGAAAAAAGATCTATTCTGTGTATAAAATATAACAACAAAAAAGGGAGTTGTAAATAGAAAAATAAAACATGTAGAAGAGACTAGTATTCTGTGCACATAGCTTTAAAATTCCAATAGGGAACACTTGTCAGAAGGAGATACTACACATTCATTAAATTAAACACAAATTCCCAAAGAGCAATATTCCAACACATTAATTTGCTACAACAGATTTACCCATTGAAACCAGTCCACCAATTTTTACCAGCAAGTAGCATCTTAATTTTACCATCTAACAGGTAAATTGAAATGAAATAAAGATTTCCACAAACTATCAGTAACACAGGCTTTTCTGGATTGTAATGGAGCACCTACCAACATTCAGTCAACTCACAGGTAATGATACTCCTTGTAGATATCATCTCTTCACACAGTAGAAGGGTCTTAAATGGAAAAGGGGTCTGTTCATTTTCTACATAAATCACAGGAAGATATTATAGAATTGGCTAATGAAAACAGCTTGTATTTTGGAAATCAGTTTTAAAAATCTGAAGTTATGAATAAAAAGTGATGAAAAAAAGTAGCTGGCTGGGTTTCCCCTCTTCTTTACAGTGATATGGTAAAAAATACAAGGAAAGTACCTAACTTCCTTTAATTAGGAAGTCTGGTCCTTTCTCTTGCTATAGGGCTCAGTTTAGAATAAGAAAAGAAAAATATTTTTGGCTGTAGCTTTAGTAAACAATGAGTGATGAAAAATATTGTCTTCAAGAGATCTGACAACTCAGAACACAGACTTTTTCACATTGATGTCACCTACATTCCTCCACAAAGCTTGGCAAATGAATAACTGAGCCCTATTTTGGCAGAATGAGAGAAGAAAGTACTAGTTCCAGTACAGAAATGAGATTATGAAAACCACCAACCAACACAAAACAGTTATTTATTCTCTTGAATAATAAAGACATTATGTTTGCATATAGAACAGCTTTTGCATTATTGCTCTACATATAAGAATATATTAGGGAACTCATAACAGACTGCACATTACAAACTTAAGGTTCTTTGGTGAAGAATGGAAGAAAACAGTATTTGAGCTTTAAAAGAAATTATTTTATCCACTTTTGCATTTATCTATTGATCCGTTGGATCCTCTCACAGAGTAGGGAGAGGTACTGTGTAAGTTTCACCATGGCAACAATTGCCACACCTCCAGCCATCATACAGGTTGGCCAGAAGAGTGAATGGAACAGCACGTTGGAACTGTAGAGTTTGGTTAGGATAACGCTCTTCTGGTTTCCTTCTGGGTCAGAATAGCAGGAAAAGTGTTGATACTTCCTGAAGTTTTCCATGACAACATTCACCAGGGACATGGATTCTTCAAAATTTTTTCCACACTTAGGTATATAGGAGCACTGTGGAGAATAAGATAAACTGTTACTAGAAGATATTCTGTGTGTTTCAGACTCTAGGCGGGGTTGGAGTATTGTGTTCAAATTAGTGATCTGTGAAACAACCATGGTGATTATTCTTTTCATATTCAAACTGGTGCCTTGGGAAACCCTAATAAATAACACATTGATTAAAACAATGTTTTAAGGTATCTGACCAAGATGTCCCTTGATTGCTCACCCATATACTATTTATTGATTGAAATAAAATGATAGATATGTTAATTAGCTTGATTTAATCATTCCATGTTGCGTACATAAAATAAATTAAATGATTCCCAGGATTCTTTTTGCCATAGCTAGGTATGATCGGTTTTAATTATTTTCTATTGAACATACTTCTCTTTGGAATCAGAATGTCAACTCTGCCATCATTTTGTCTGTCCACATCTGTCCACATAACATAAAAGTTCTCTCGGGGAAAGTAGTTTACTCTTATCGTTTTTTCTTGGTTTCATTTTATTTGGTTACCTTGCAACTGTCATAAAAAAAAACAGCCACACTTCTGTTGAATTACGAAAAAGAAATCTGTAATGTGTAGGAATATTGAATAGTTAAAAAGCTGAGATGAGTGGGTCAGACCCATTTAGCATGCCAAAGTATCTTTTCCTATAAGCCAAGGAAGAATAAAACAGTTCTTTAATCACCACTCACCTGAGAACTTACGCTACCTTCCTTTTGATCTTTTCACCTCTCTTTTCTTTGGCTACCTCTTTTACATGTCTCTCCTCTCTTTATTTCTACACACTTTGATATGGTTTGGTTCCGTGTCCCCTCCCAAATCTCACTTGAATTGTAATCCCATGTGTCAGGAGAGAGACCTGCTGGGAGGTGATTGGATCATGGGGGCAGTTTCCCCCACGCTGTTCTTATGATAGTGAGTAAGTTCTCATGAGATTAGATGGTTTAAAACTGTCTGGCAGTTCTTCCCTCATGTTCTCTCTCTTGCTTGCCACCATGAGAAGATGTACCTTGCTTCTCCTTCATTTTCTGCCATGATTGTAAGTTCCCTGAGGCCTTCCCAGCCATGTGGAACTGTGAGTTAATTAAACCTTTTTCATTTATAAATTACCCAGTCTCAGGTAATATCTTTATAGCAGTGTGAAAATAGGCTAATACAGAGAATTGGTACTAGGCCAGTGGGGTATTGCTATAAAGATAACTTGAAAATGTGGAAGCAACTTTGGAACTGGGTAACAGACAGAGGTTGGAACAGTTTGGAGGACTCAGAAGAAGATAGGAAGATGAGGGAAAATTTGGAACTTCCTAGAGATTTGTTGAATGGTTTTGACCAAAATGCTGATAGTGATATGAACAAAGAAGTCCAGACTGAGGTAGTCTCAGATGGAGATGAGAAACTTACTGGGAACTGGAGCAAAGGTTGTGCTTGCCATGCTTTAGCAAAGAGATTAGCAGCATTTTGCCCCTGTCATAGAAATCTGTGGAACTTTGAACTTGAGAGAGATGAATTAGGATATCTGACAGAAGAAATTTCTAACCAGCAAAGCATTCAAGAGGTGACCTGGCTTTTCCTGAAATGTGCAGTTATATGCATTCACAAATAGATGATTTGAAATTGGAGCTTATGTTTAAAAGCATAAAAGTTTGGAAAATGTGCACCCTGACCATGTTGGTAGAAAACAAAAACCCATTTTCTGGGGAGAAATTCAAACCTCCTGCAGAAATTGGCATAAGTAATGAGGAGCTGAATGTTAATAGCCAACACAATGGGGAAAATGTCCCTGGGTATGTCAGAGATTTTTGTAGCAGCCCTTCCCATCACAGGCCTGGAGGCATGGGAGGGAAAAATGGCCTAGGGCCCTGCTACTCTATGCTGCCTTGCAACTTGGTGCCCTGTTTTCCAGCTGCTCCAGCTGTGGCTATAAGGGGTCAATGTACAGTGCAGGCCATTGCTTCAGAGGGTGTAAACCCCAAACCTTGGCAGCCTCTAGGTATTGTTGGGACTGCAGGTGTGCAAAAGACAAGAGTTAAGGTTTTGGAACTTCCACCTAGATTTCAGAGGATATATAGAAATGCCTGGGTGTCCAGGCAGAATTCTGATGTAGGAGTGGAGCCCTCATGGAGAACCTCTGCTAGGGCAGTACAAAAGGGAAATGTGGGGTTGGAGTCCCCACACAGAATCCCCACTGGGGCACTGCCTAGTGGAGCTGTTAGAAGAGGGCCACTGTCCTTCAGACCACAGAAGGATAGATTCACCGACAGCTTGCACCATGTGCATAGAAAAGCCGCAGGCACTCAGAGTCAGCCTGGGAAAGCAACTGCAGGGGCTGTACCCTGCAGAACCAAACCACAGGGTGAAGCTGCCCAAGGCCTTGGGAACCCACCTCTTGCATCAGCATGCCCTGAATGTGAGACATGGAGTCAAAGGAGATTATTTTGGAACTTTAAGATTTAATGACTGCCTGGCTAGGTTTTGGACTTGTATGGGGCCTGTGGTCCCTTTGTTTTAGCCAACTTCTCCCATTTAGAATGGGTCTATTTACCCAACAACTGTACCCCCTTCGTATCTTGGAAGTAACTAACTTGGTTTTGATTTTACGGGCTCATAGGCGGAAGGGATTTGCCCTGTCTCAGATGAGACTTTGGACTTGGAATTTTGAGTTAATGCTGGAATGATTTGAGACTTTGGGAGACTGTTGGGAAGGCATGATTGGTTTTGAAATGTACAAAGGACATGAGATTTGGGAAGAGAGGACATGAGATTTGGGAAGAGCTAGGGGCAGAATGATATGGTTTGGCTCTGTGTCTCCACCCAAGTTTCATCTCAAATCGTAATTTCCAGGTGTCAGGGAGGCACCTGGTGGGAGGTGACCGGATCGTGGAGGTGGTTTCCCCATGCTATTCACATGATAATGAGTGAGTTCTCATGAGATGTGATGGTTTAAAAGTGTTTGGCAGCACCCCCGCCCTCATGTTCTCTCTCTTCTGCCAGTATGAGAAGACATGCCTTGCTTCCCCTTTGCCTTCCATCATGATTGTAAGTTTCCTGAGGCCTCCCCAGACATGCAGAACTGTGAGTCAACTAAACCTTTTTCTTTTATAAATTATCCAGTCTCAGTTGTTCTTTATAGCAATGTGAAAACAAATTAATACACACTTATATCTTTGCATTTTGTTTTTTTTTGTATCTCTTCCTTCCTTGCCCTTCCCTCAACCCCCACCTGGCTTTAAATCTTTCTCTCTGTTCCTCTTCCTGTTCACTCTTCCCTTTCTCCTCTTTCTTATCTAGATACAGATGGACTTAAATACCTTTCTTGTAGTTTTTCTTTTTATTTTATGTTATATAGTTGGACACATTTTTAATTTAAAAAGCTATCTCTGAGGAAATCTCTGTGACTTATATTCCTTTGTTTATAAATGTGCCATGACAAAACTGATATAATAATGAGGGTTTTTTTTTAAGTTTGGAAAAAGTGATTTAAATCGCTTTTCTGGGAGATGTTTGGGTTTTTGGCTAACTCTCTTCTCTATTGGTAAGAACCTCTCAATAGACTTTTTACTGTCCTGCCCCTTGATACATATATATATATATAATCAAATGATTAACTTATCTGATTTATCAGAATTAAATTAGTTTCTGACAGAATCACTGCTTATCTATAGAGTGTTTTAGTGTGAGCTGAAACACTATGCTCCTTCTTCAAAACATTATCATTTTCAGTTGGAAAATTATCCTAATAAATTTATTTTATTTATAAAACTCACATCTTACTGTCATTTACCAATTTACAAATTGTAACTGTAAATATTCACATATATGACTTTTACAATGTGATTAGAACCTCTGTGCAATGCACAACCTCCATGACTATATGCAGAGACACAGATAAGGTGAGCTTTGAGGTACATTGATACAGGTTTTGGGGTAGAAGCCTGAAATTTCAGAAAAATGTAGACCAGTAGATTTCCCAGAAACAAAATATTTAAAAAACAAAGAGTTTTGGCTAATGAAATATATTTGAATTACTCTTTCCCTGGACTTTATCAGTGAGCACACAGGCACCTTGCTTTTTTTTTTTTTTTTTTTTTTACTGAGCTGTAGTCATTGAATTATTTGACTATAAACAGCAGGAAGGTTCTTTGATTAGTTAAGAATGAAGGATGAGCATGCTGGCATTTATCATAAACCATGTTTAATGTGATGTTCTTGTAGCAAGGTCTGGTTGACACCTTAAAATTTAACCAGCTAAGAATAAATGTGAATACATTTGTATAGGTGAGTGGAGCAGAGAATTCCCTGGTACTAGCAAGGCACTAAGGGGGTGAAAGTATCACCAAGAAAGCAGAATTTTTCAGTCAGTTATAATTTAGCATGACAACTGGACTTTGACTGTCATGAAGCAAATTTCCTACCAGTTGAATGCCTCTGGATCAAAAGGGTATAAGGCAGTGTGGGAATACCTTAATTTTTGTCCTTCGAAGATGGACATCTTCGAAGATGCCCTGATCATTGCTTTAATGTTTTTAGAAATGTTTTTTGAACCAAAGCATTTAAAAAATAACAGACAAACTATTTCTGGTTGAATTTAAACCAAACCAATTTAGATTATGAATGCTTCAGGTATCTGTATATTTCTGTGCCAAGATAGTTTATAGTAGCAATTTCAGTGGTGAACAGTGCTAAGTTATTGAAATGATCTCAGTAAGAATGGCATTCCATTGAAAGTGAAGTTTTTCTTTTTCTTATGCTTTTGTAAACTGATTCAGCTTAAAAATATATATTTTTAAATAAACATTTGTCAGACAAATGGCAATAATTCTGTCACTAGGTAAGATTCTTCATATAAACTACCATTGAGACCATCTGGCAGAACTGTAATACAGGAGCTGCTAATTAAAGTTGAAAGTCATTGGACTTTCATTACATGCATGTGGGCTGGACGGATGAGGCATGGTCCATACTCGATTGATCGTGGGACCTCAGGGCCAATGGTACACATATG